ACTCCTTGTGGGAGTTCTAGCAGTCTCAACTGGTTGGAGTTTTTAGTTTTTGATTGATCGAACTTTAAGCATGCCGATTTCTGATGTTGCTACTGCCGAGTAATTGAACCTTATTCAAGTTGTTTTTGTATTTAGTCTATAAGGTGCTTCGGTTAGTACTCCTATTTGAGTCCACTTTCTTGGTGCATTTGTAGGGCTAGTTGACTTTGAAGTCTCATCTTGTGAATCTCTCTTTTGAGTATAAAATTCATGATTTCAATAAAAAAAATTAAAGAAAGAAAAAGAGATAACATTTAAAAGAATAAAAAATACAAGATGTTGATAACATGAATTAAAATATTAATGTGCCAGTCTCTCACTCTTTACTAATTTACCAATAAACTGGTATTCGATTATGTGCACATTCACAGAGACAAACAAAAGTTTCTATATTACATGTACGCATATAATATTTAAAATTTTAAATTAGATAAAGCGTGCACGACATTTTAAAATTTTGATATACGTAAATTTACAATATAAATACAGTTTTTTAACTTCCATATGAATCGTTATATTGATAACATACAATATAACAAATAATACAATTTCGTAATTTATAGGTACCATCCAATTAAATAATTATAAAAATATTACATTTATTTTGTTTATTATTATATAGCAATTACTTATGTGATTTTAAGAAGTTCAATTATGCCACTCAAACCAATTAACTAATATTAGAGAAAAATGTTAATAAGATTAAAAAATAATATTTATTGTAGTGTATTTTTATTTTTTTTTCGAAACGATAGATTTCATAGCTCAGAAAAAAGAGTCTGTACATGTCGGAGACCAACTGGTCAAAAAAAAACCTGCACATCAAGTGCTACAAACAGCTGCCGAAAATCAGAAAATACTAAAAGGCAAAAAGGTTTGAAAGGTTGCTAATGGCAATGCTGGTTCCATTGAACCCATTAGCTAATTTCAAACTCCTAACACCAAAAGAGGTCCATACACTGCACCAAAGGCCTAGATGAACCCCAGCCAACAGCATATATACAACAAAAGGCTAAACAAAACCAACAAACACTAATCTACAAGACTGAAACTAAGAAAAGACCTGACTGCACACACCATAAGCTAAAGTTCACAAAATGGGAGGTCTGCTCATCCAACTGCTGCAAATTCCCTCCAGTCTTTTCCAGCAAGCTCTGCTACAACTCTTTCTTCCATCCAAGTGTCTTGAAAAATCCATAGGTTTCTAGCTTTCCACAGCCACCACAGTATGTATGTGGAAAGCTGGATTCTGGCTTCAGATGTTGCTGTTCTGTTCAAGCTGCAGACCTTTGTCCACCATCCTTGGAAATTATCTGTCTGATTATTCAAGCCATCCCAAGACACCTGTGCAAGTCTCCATATTCTTTTGGCTCTAGGACACTCAAAGAATAAATGCTCCACTGATTCAGGTTTTTCTCCACAGCTTTTGCAAATGCAATCAATGACCATACCTTTCTTAACAAGATTGCATTGGACAGGCAGAGTGTTTGTAAGGCATCTCCATAGGAAGTGCTTCAGTTTTCCTTTGATTTTTAATCCCCAGCTTCTCATCCTTGTTGTTTTTTGCATTAGATGTCCACTGCTGCTTTCTGCCATGTCCATGATTTTCCATTTTTGAGCCACTAGTTTGGAGTAGGTAGAGGAAACAGAGAAGGCTCCATCTTTCCCACTGTCCCAAACTAATCTGTCTGATGTAGAGGGGTCAAGGCTTTTGATGCTGAGGATTGCTTGAGCTTCTGATTCAGTGAAAGTGGATTGGACAAGTTGAGTATTCCAATGCCTACCTGTGTGATCAAACAAGTATTTAACCCATATGAGATTTGCTGAGTTGTCTGAAGGGGTTGATGATAGTCTTTAACCCATATGAGCTTTTGATAGTTTATTGTAGTGTATTGAATCCCACTGATTGGTGCTATTAATGACAAATTTGTCCATAATGTTTGGTCAAATTTTAATATTTGACCACAATATGTTAACTTATTTACCTTATTGTTATTACATGTTTCACTGTTATTAATATATTTTGATTTGATCATTACCATTGATAGATCTAATGGTCCAATTGTAACAACAAATTTTATGAAAAACATAAAACTTTTGTATAACTTGATTTTATTTTTATCAAACGATATTGAGGTTACAATCTCTATATGGAACCCTCTGATTTTTCTCTTCTTGAATCTTTAACTTGAATGTCGTGGATCTTGAATCTTTAACTTGAATGTCGTGGATCTTCGAAATTACATTTGGATATTTAGAGCTCTTTGAATTAAGACTTTGATTTATGAGGTGTTGGATTTTTTGAGGTGTGATTTGTGCCATTGAGGAATAAGTGTAAGAGAGAGTCTTGAAGAAGAAGATTTCAATTTGATTGGTCATTCATGATTTGATATAATTTATTTCCTTATCCTAAGATTAAATATAGTGTCTCTCCTTATCCTAATATTTGACTTGGTGGACAAAAAAATAATTACTTTATTAATTAAATTTTATTTATCTTAGATTTATGTCTCAAAATAAATAAAAATATTAAATAATAAAATATTAAAATTTTTGATGTCTACACTAATATCATTCTTATTTTTTTCATTATCTTTTTTTTTTCTCATATGATTCCTTTCCTATATATAGATACACCAATTTAGAGGATTCATTTTTCAAAACTTTTGGTATGTAATTCCACACGTCAGCTTATTTAAGTGCTCATTAAATTGCAATAAAAATAAACCAATTTAGAGGATTCATTTTTCAAAACTTTTGGTATGTAATTCCACACGTCAGCTTATTTAAGTGCTCATTAAATTGCAATAAAAATAATTTGTTCTCGAGCTAACCAACAAAATCACGCGCGGCACCTTCCGTTCAACGTGTCGGGGGGCAGTCTAGTAATTTGTCGCTTTCATAGCCGCTGAAACTTAGAGCCACGGTAATCTGGCTAGCCGAGCCTCCTGACGTTTGGAAGCCTGGGTTTTACAGCGTGTAGTTATTAGGTCACAAAATGAGATTAAAGAAAGTTCTATTTGCATGCTAAACATATGACAATTTTTTGTGAGAGAATCTAAAGGAGGAGAATGGATATGATATATATTTTTAATTAAAATGTATATATATGTACAGTTTTGCTATGGAGTCATCGGATGGCTCGGCTTATGGAGCCATCTACACTTATTCACCAATAGTATATTGATATGTGTCCTGCAATAAATTCACTTTGGACATGTGTCAATACATTAATGGCATGATTGGTATGATGGAATGGAATTTCGTAGGAATGGAATGAATTGCAGAATGGAATGATTATAGGAATGGAATGAAACATGTTTTGTCATTGATGCGTTTGGTATGCAGAAGGAATATGACAAGAATGGAATGACATTATTATTTTTTATTATAAAAATAAATAAAAGCTTTTTTTTAAAAATATACTTTTAATAAATTATATATAAATGATTTTTCAATAATATATAAAAATACAATAAAATATTTTTAATAATATATAAAAATAAAATAATATATTGTTTAATAATATAAAAAATAATATATTTTTAATAATATATAAAAATAAAATAATATATTTTTAAATTATATATAAATACTTTTTTTAGTTTTATTTTTATATAAGTATTTAATATATCTAATTAAAAAATAAATAAAAGTAAGTTTTCAATTTTTTTATTTGAATTTTATTTTTTAAATAATTCTATTTAATATATTTTAATCATGATTTATAATATATATTATATATTTATTTTTTATTATTATTTGTTAATTTTATTTTTTGAAAAATTGATTCCTACACAATGAGATGAGAAAACCTTCCATTTACTATGGAATGGCTAATCACATGGAGATGAGTTTTGTAATTATATTGGAATGATCATTCCTTCCCAAAAAATATACCAATCATGGGATAAGGGATGAGTAAGGAATGATCATTACATTCCATGTCATTCCTTCCTACCAATCATGCCATAAGTGGTGGATGACTCCATAAAATTTTTGTATATATGTATGTTATGAAATATTATATTTTAATTTATAATTTCTAATTTTTCTGTAGGTCGATATGTCATAAAACTTTTTAATAAACATAATTATATATAATGAAATATTATATGATAGGAGTATGATTGTTTGTTAGATTTGTCAAATAAAAACAATAATATTTACACACTTGCCATCATCCTATTGGTTTAGTTCATTTTGATCTTTTTTTTTGGGAAAAAAGAGTAGATGGAAAAAATAATGTTTTAATAATATTAAATGATATGCATAAAAAGTAAAACTTAATTGTGTGAGATATAAAATACTAAAATATATAAATAGATGATTAGTATTAAAAATTATTTCTCATTAAAATTATATTGATAAATGAAAAAAATAGTAAAGTATTTTTTAGTTGATGGATAATATAAAATGGTAACTTCCACCTTCCCGTGATTTTCAAACAAAATTTATTTAATTCATTCAAGACATTGAAATTAGGCAAGTCTAAAGTTCATCCTTAAGATTCTAAATTATTTGACTAAATGCATACTTAACTTTTTTCAACAACTAATTAGCAACGTGTAATATAATACTAATTAGCAATATTCCTTTGAAATGCCTCTGCTTCTGATTTACAAAAATTTTGTGGGGTCATCGGATAGTTTTTTATGGAACCATCAATCACTTAATATATTGACACATGTCCAAAATCCATTTATTGTAGGACACATGTCAATACACTATTTGTGAATAACTAAAGATGACTTCGGATGCTCCATAGCAAAAATGTTCTAATTTATAGGTAACTAATTAATTATAGTTAGTAATGCAACCTAGTTTTTTTAGTGAAAAACTTGACAGTATACCTTTAGCCAATTCTCGAGCCGAGCCAAGAGCCGAGCCATTCATGGCCACAAATAAGGCGAAAAATGCTGAGGTAAATAGCTCATGAGCCCCTCATATATTGAGTATTGACACACTCATTGCTACAGCTCCATTAACTTGTTCACTCGAAGCTCCTCTAAATCCCCTCAATTAAAAGGCAATTTGTGTTCATAAAACTATAAAAGTACTATCAAGCTAAAATCTGGTCCTTGCAGGTGGAGCCGGCAAGCTACAATGGGTATAGTGATATCAGAAGAGAACAAAAGGGCGGAGCTCGAGGAATTCCGGCGGATGCTGCTGTTCTGCGCGGCGGTGCACCGGCGGAAGGACGACGAAGGGTTTGGGGCCCACGAGGAGCTGCTGCCGGTTCAAAACGGCGACGTATTGGACAGGATGGTCTGCGTCACGAGCGGCGTATCCTACATCGGAATTGCTATCGTGAACCAGCTCCTGGTCAACGGCTACTCTGTGCGGATTATTGTTGACAACGAAGGTAAACAGTAAAGAAATTTGAAGCATAAACCGTGTCACAGTGATTTGATTTTATAATCTAGGTGAGATTTTCAAACGTTTTTAAAATAGTTTGATTTGTTAAATTAGTCGTTTCCTTTTGATATGTGGGTTTTGTTGGAGCATGACAAATCATATATGTTCTTCTATAGCATTTTCATTTTTTTTTTCTTCATTTAATCTGTTATTCATCGTCATGATCATTGTTATTGAGCTCAAGTTGTTGAATCATCATATTTTTTAATATTCACCTTTATTTTATATATATAATTTATAATGCATCAAATTAGCTGTCTATACGTGTTCTACACGAGCGTGGTATTCAAAGTGTATTATAATATTCTTACACGACACTGTCAATGAGAAGAACTACCCATTCAAAGTGATAATGAATGGGCTGTATTTAAATTTTGAAGCTTAGCGTTCATAAAGTCCACACCTTAGTAGGCAAAATTACAAAAATGATACACTAAGTTGGGCGTTGTCAACAAAAGAGACAATTTGTTGTCCCTCACGGAAAAGATACACTTAGTTGGCTTTTTGCACGAAAAAGATACAAATTTACAAAAACGATACACTAAGTGTATCGTTTATGCCTGACTTTGCTGGATTGTTTATGCCTGACTTAGTGTATCATTTTTGTAACTTTGTATCTTGTTCGTGCAAAAAGCCAACTAAGTGTATCTTTTCCGTGAAGGACAACAAATTGTCTCTTTTGTTGACAACGCCCAACTTAGTGTATCATTTTGTAATTTTGCCCACCTTAGTATGTGTGTGGTAAGAGCTTAAAGATAGCTTTTAATTTTACAAAAGTTATTATGCTAGTATAACTATTAAGTATTGTTGGGTAATTAAGCAAGAGCTTAAATATTTTTTTTTTAAAAAAAAAAAATTGCATTTTTGGATTAATTTTGTCAAATACATCTAAATCCTATAAGCTAATTTCACAATTTATCACATATTTATAAATATCAATCATTAGGATTGTTATTTACCATTTTTATTCTTTTTATTTCCATTTACAATCAAATGATTCCCCATTGTCCTCCATTTCTTAAAATAAAACTACTTCGGCATAATAGTTTGACACAAAGGATGACAAAAATGATGTGTATGTTTAGTGGTTGTTGATTTTAAGAGTGATATGATAAAGTGACAAGATAGTTTGGCACAAAGGATGGCAAAAATGATGTGTATGTTTCGTGGTTGTTGATTTTAAAAGTGATGTGATTCAACTTGTTAGCATGATTCAACTTGTTTTACCACTTTTTTCCCTGTGGAATGGTACTTTTAAAATTTTTTCATATAAATAACTAATAATTTTGGTTTACAAGTTTCCGAATAATCATAGTGAGTTGTTAATCGTTTTTCTGATGCAGAGCAATATTATCTGACTGCATTAGTTTCCTTTTATTTCCACCTGGGCTCACTCCCATGGCCGGCTTAACATAATTAGTTCACGTGTCATGATCAAGAATCCCCTTACATGAATTAGTCAATCTTCATTCTCTCCAGATGTAATATGAATTGACTTTTATTATCTTCTCTATTCTAGAGGGCAATTATTCAACTGTCTTCTGTTCCTAGTCAAACAAAAAAAGAAAATAAGAAAAAAAGAATATTTTAATGGTGATTTGGTTTACTTACCTATTCACCAACTATTCAGTTTTCATGGTCTTCCACATCTGCTGAGTCCTCCTTGAATTCCCCCTATTGGGCTAATTAGCTGATGCTACTTCATTTGAAAATGCAGAGGATGTGGAAAAATTGAGGGAAATGGAGATTTCAGGTGAGATGAGAATCAACAGCAGCAGGCTTGAGGTGGCTATGGCCACACTCACGAAAGTCGAGAGCCTGATTAAGGCATTTGAGGGTTGTCGTGGGGTCTTTCACACGGCTGCATTTGTTGACCCTGCTGGACTATCCGGTTACTCGGTGAGTTATTTTTCCTTTCCATGTGACTTGAAAAAAAAAAAGAAAGAAGTTTTTTCGCGAGTGAGAACCACAAATAACAGATGCCTTTAATGAGTAGTTCAAATGTATGGATTTTGTTGATAGCCTAGCTAGCCTATGAATGATTAGATAAAAGAAGTTGATCCGATTCGACCTCGAGTTGGTCCCTTGTGGCATGTACATGATAAAATTTGTTAATGTATGTATGATTTGAGAGAAGAACTTCATGTACCATTTGAAACTAATATTTGGCTGATCACTTTTCCACGATTTCGTAGGCAAAAACCATTAATGACAAGGAAAAGCTTTCTATGCATTCATCATTAAATGACCAATGTTGATTTTTTAATATGGTCATATCTCGTAAATGCTGCTATAATAGATAGCGTCAGAAAGTTCGCTTCACAATTTTTTTCGTAACCTTTTTGTTTGTGGTCATGAAACTGCTATTTATCACTACATGAATCTTTCGCTCAATTAAAAAAATGTATACCTTTTTGTAGAAAGTTATGGCTGATGTCGAAGTGAACGCGACCAAGAATGTTGTGAAGGCTTGTGGAGTTTCATCTTCTGTTAGGCTCTGTGTGCTAACCTCATCCCTCTTGACATGCATTTGGCGGGACAATTCGAAAAACGAAGAAGTTCCCCACCAAATCGACCACAAAACTTGGAGTGATGAATCCATTTGCATAAACAAAAAGGTGCAAAAGCTAAAATTTAGACAACTTTGCAATATTTTACTAAAGCTAAAATTTAGACAACTTTGCAATATTTTACTAAGTTTTGAAATTTTCCTCTTTCTTTTTTTCCCATTTATTAAGCTTTGGTATGCTTTGGGGAAGCTGAGGGCAGAAAAGTCCGCATGGGATATCGCGAAAGAATGTGGTCTGAAGATGGCAGCCGTTTGTCCCGGGCTTGTTACGGGCTCTAAGTTTTACCAAAGAAACCCAACATCCACAATGGCTTACCTTAAAGGAGCTCACGAGATGTATACATACGGTTTGCTTGCTACAGTCGACATAAGCAAATTGGCAAAAGCGCATATAGCCGTTTTTGAGGAGATGAAGAAGACAACTTGTGGTTGTGGAAGGTACATTTGCTTTGATAAGGTGATTGAACAAAATGACGAGCTCGAGAAGCTGGCTAGTGAGACGGGGATTAGCTCGAGCTCGTTAACTGGGGGTGACTCGTGCAGTGATAGGCCAAGGTTTGAGCTGTCGAATGTAAAACTTTGTCAACTAATGATGAGAACGCGAAGGTGTCACAACGAGTAATTATGGTTATCTGGGTTCTTTACACCTGAGTTATTACAATATAGAGTTACTAGATTATGAAGGTGGTGTAGGCTTTTGATTCCTTACTAAACTAAGGCATGCACAAGGTAAGTTCATCCGGAAAATGGTGAGAGAACGGGCCGTGTGCTCTCCTCAGGCCCAATAGTCTTAGCTCAGGTTATATTCAGTATGTTCCCAGGCCCAATATCCTTAGCTCTGATCAAATCCAATATATCCTTTGGCCCAATGGTCTAAACTCTGATTATATTCAGTATGACATACATTCTAACGCAGTTGGACATTTCTCTACTGTAGAACGTGTGAACTGGTCACAACTTATAAGTACTGATTACTGAATACATCCAAAATAGTTTTAACTCTTTTCAGTATAGTTACTAGTTCAGCTATTCAAATAAGGGAGGGTTCAACCCCATTTTCTACCATTCGATCCGTAATATGTTTAATTCATAGAACAAAGAAGAAAATGACCCTACCGTTTTAATTTATTTTTAATAACAGTAAATAATGAAAATCACTGTGGTTTACTGTTCTTGAGCCCTCGAATTTTGATTGTTGGTGAAGATTACAACAAAATTAAGATGTGACTCAATGTATAAAGTACGTAGCATTCTTCATGATTTTATTCATGTACAATTTTGAAATGGAATCTAGTTGTTGTGTTGATGTGATGGATAACCATCTGTATGCCATACAAATTTGAAATGAAATCTAGTTACTGTGGATGCCTATATGTACAAATTTTTGACAACTAGATAATAATATTATTGAACCATGCTATATCGCCAAAATGGCTTATATATTGAATCAACGAAAATAAACATAAACAAGCATCTATTATTATTATTATTATTATTATTATTATTATTATTACTAGTTTTACGAAAGGTGAGAAAATTAAAACTTCAACCCGAGACTTAGTGAAGCAAGATTCTTATAGCTGAAAAAACTTAGATATGACAAAAATATGGTAAAATTAGATGATATATAAGCTAATAGCTGAAATAAAAATTTCAACGAGCTTCTTATTTGAAAAGTTACCTCAAAAAATTTATGGAATAAGCTCGAGCTTTTTAGAAAAAAATTTCTTACTAAACGAAGCTTATTTGAATACAGAAAGCTTATAAACTAACCAAATAAATTATAAATTTTATTATTTGGTTACCAAATATATATAACAAAGATTCTAGGCAACATATAAAAGTAAAGAGTTATATGCAAAAGTACATGCAAAATTAAAGTGTTTTATGTAATGTTATTATTAGCTTGCTAGTATGAACCAAGTATGATATGACATGACATGCATGTTCATGAAAATTCATGATCCACCAAGACTAAAGAGTAATGAGTGT